AATTTCCAAAATTTTCTAAGTTCACTTCCCTTTGAGAAGTACCCTCTCCCTTATCTTGGATTCCTAACTTTTAAAATCCTCAGCTAGTAGGCTCATTTGCTGTAAGTAAGGGCTAAAATTTACACACTGTGGAAGATTACTTTTTGAAGAGAAAGCACTATTTTTATTATGCCAGGTCAAAAATGTTGAAAATTTCAGAGCAGGTAGTTTCCTATTTCTCTTATTGTATTACTGCTACAGTAACACATCACCACAAATTTAGTGGCTTAAAACAATACAAATTTATTATTCTAAGGTCCTGGAGATCAGAGGTACAGACAGCATGTCCCTGGACTAAGATCAAGGTGTCAGCCGGCTGTGTTCCTTTCTGGAGGCTTGAGGAGAATCCGTTTCCCTGACTTTCTAGTTCCTAGAAGCTGTCTGCATTCCTGGACTCATGACCCTTTTCTTCATTTTTAAAGCTAACAGCATAACATCTTCAATTTCTCAGACTCTTCTGCTTATCTCCTCCACTCTTAAAGGACATTTGTGATTACACTGGGTCCATGTAGATATTTCAAACTCTCTGTCAAGATCTTTAATTACATTTGCGAAGTCTCTTTTGCCATTAAGGTAATATGATCACAGGTTCTGGGAGTTAGGAAGTGGACCTATTTGGGGGGTTCAGTTCAGTTCAGTCGCTCAGTCATGTCCGACTCTCTGCGACCCCATGAACCGCAGCATTCCATGCCTCCCTGTCCATCACCAACTCCCAGAGTCCACCCAAACCCATGTCCATTGAGTCGGTGATGCCATCCAACCATCTCATCCTCTGTCGTCCCCTTCTCCTGCCCTCAATCTTTCCCAGCATCAGGATCTTTTCAAATGAGTCAGCTCTTCGCATCAGGTGGCCAAAGTATTGGAGTTTCAGCTTCAACATCAGTCCTTCCAATGAATACCCAGGACTGATCTCCTTTAGGATGGATTGGTTGGATCTCCTTGCAGTCCAAGGGACTCTCAAGAGTCTTCTCCAACACCACAGTTCAAAAGCATCAATTCTTCGGGGGGTGGGGATCATTCTATCTACCAGAAAAGGATAGAAGCAACAAATAACGGAGTTGAAACTGGGATATTTTAAGTTATTTTTTTTCTTATAGTATTTCTTTCTTGCAGTTCAACCACCCTTATTTTTTGCCTTTAAAAGCCAAACTAAGAATTCCCTAGTGCTTATGTTAGGATGGTTTCTAACTTCCATTAAATTTAAAATAGCACCCTAAATGTACAGTAGAGATTTGTAATGTAAATGTAAAGTGGGGAGATACATTGTACAGAATATATTTACATATTAAAAACAGATTTATTTTTAAAAATATTTGGTTGTACCAGGTCTTAAGTTGCTGTACATGGATTCTTAGTTGTGGCATGTGGGATCTAGTTCCCCGAGCAGGGATCAAATCTAGGCCCCTGCATTAGGAATACATAGTATTAGCCACTGGACCACCAGGGAAGTTCCTCAAAATAGAGTTCTAAACCTGATTTGGTTTTCATATTGAATACATAATATATGGTTTCATTATTCTGCCAAAACTTGCTTATTTGGCATTATCAATACTGGAACAAGTTTTATATACCATATGTGTTCTGTTTCTTTCTAGGATTTTCAGCAATTTTTAGAGTTTATCATAAAGTAATTTTTTAATTAAAAAAGAAACATGGAATTTATGATTAAAAGCAAAGTCAAATCATACAACAGTGTATGTGGCAAAAAGTTAAAGCCTGTTCTGTTCCCATCTTATTCTTCTCTGCAAAATAAAACACTGTTCAACAGTTTGGAGTGATTTCCATAGAGCTCCACAGATTGCCTTCTAGACTATTAGGCACATCTTCACATATACACTCCCCTGAGTTTTTGTTTATGTAAATGATGTCATACTAATTATACAGTTCTGCTGCTATTTCTTTGCACTATATCACACTGTCTCTACACCTACACTATACTTATAGTTGAATGCCCATAGATATTAAGGTAGTAGAGTGATTTCAAGTTTGGGTTCTAATTTAAATCTTGGTTCTGTCAAGGTATGTCCCTGGACAAATCAACCTTTTGGTACCCGATTTTCCTTATTTATAAAGTGGATGAAAATAACTATCTCATAGGGTTGTTATGATTATAGCAATTGTGGATGTTACCTAAGACTAAGGCATGTGAAGCACCAAGGAGGGCCTAGTAGTGTAATAGCCATTTAATGGCACTGCCTTAATATTATACTTTTTTTTACTGGCTATACAATTTTTTTTTCTCCCCTGCGGACGAACCATTTAAACTAGTCTAAAAATGTGAATGCTTCCAAACTGGGGTTCTAATGGAATATACTACTATTAGCATTGAAGCCCATCTTTTCTGCTTGTATTGAATTGTATTTCTAAAGCTAAATTTTTGTCACAGGCTGTGCACACATTTATGGCTTTTGCTCTCTATTGCTTTCCAAAAGGATTACACCAGTTTCAATACTAACATCAAAGAATTATTCAGACTTTGTTGGCAGGATTTAGAAAAATTTTGCTACCTTAGTAGTCATAAAATGGTATTTCAAATATGGTTTAATTTGTACTTTTTGCATCCCGGTAAGCAGATATAACCAGTCCATCCTAAAGGAGATCAGTCCTGGGTATTCACTGGAAGGACTGATGTTGAAGCTGAAACTCCAATACTTTGGCCACCTGATGCGAAGAGCTGACTCATTTGAAAAGATCCTGATGCTGGGAAAGATTGAGGGCAGAAGGAGAAGGGGACGACAGAGGATGAGATGGTTGGATGGCATCACCGACTCGATGGACATGGGTTTTGGTGGACTCTGGGAGTTGGTGATGAACAGGGAGACCTGGCGTGCTGCGGATCATGGGGTCACAGAGAGTAGGACACGACTGAGCGACTGAACTGAACTGAACTAAGCATATTTACTTATGTACTTATTTTTATTTTTCCATTCATTTTGTAGTTATATTGTGCATCTGAGTGCATCACTATTCTAGGGGCTGGACAATCTAACAATAGATAGACAAAAATCTAATCATGGAAATGGTTTATACAGCTCTATTGAAACTACAGTGTATTAGGTACTATATTAAACCAGCATAAGCTTTTCACACTAACACTGGCAAATCTTTGGAGTACTTGGCCTTTCTAGGATAAGAAGCTGGTACAGTCATCTGAAAGATAAGCATGGTGTACCTTCTGCTCATTTATTTACTATTAGTAATAATGAGGAAGATTTGGAGTGAGAAAGTAAATCAGTACATAATTAAAACTCATTTTTATAGTTACAAATGAGTTTTTAAAACTAAGACAGTTTTCAAGGAAATTTCCAGCACTCGTCCCCAGCCTTTGCCCCTGTTTGGTATTTTCCCCTATATTTCTGTGGAAAGACTTGGGAAGCATTTACAGACTATTCAAAATGAACTCCTGGGGTGCTGAGGAGTACATGTGTGACAATGTTCCTTGTGTTTTCAGCTTTTGGTGATTACAAATAAAGCCACTGTAAACATCTGTTTTCCAAAGTGGCTGTTTCATTTGCCTTCCTATCAGCAATGTATGAAACTTATATTTGCTTGGCCTCTTCATTTCCACCAACACTAGTACAGTATTCCCCCTCCCATTCTAAAAGCTATTCAGTGGTACCTCCGGAGCTTTTACTTTGCATTTCTCTAATGATTAATGATGTGGAGCACCTACAAGCTACTTATTTGCCATTTGTATATCTTTTTTTGGTGAAGTGTCTGCCCTAATCTTTTGCCCATTTTTTATTGCTTTTCTCATTATTGAGTTTTGAGAAATAAAATTTATTTATTAAAGATATGTTTTGATTTAAAAAAAAACCAAGTCACAGGTTATGGTATCTTTGAGTATGTGTACTCAAATAATTATGAACGACTTGCCTACATTTTGTTTTTTTGTAAGTAATTTAAATGAATCTGCAATGTTATCTTTCTGAGGAATTATATTTTTCTCTATCTCTAAAATGAAAAGAATTCGCTTTGCTGTCAAAATCTAAAATAACTCTCTTCAAGCTCTAAAATAGTATTCTGTATAAAACCGACTACAGCCTAAAATAAAGCAGAAACTCTGCTTCTTGTTAGGATGTAAATAAGAGGAGTAATGCATGGCCCAGGAGTAAAGAAAACATTGTTTTCAAAAGACATTACTTTCTAAATTAGGTTTTCTTTTTTAAGTGAACTAGCGACATAGTAAGGAATGATTTGAAAGTCTGTTTTACCTTACCAGAATCCATACCTTGAGAAAAAGGAACTATAAAAAGGCAGGTGTTTTAAGTTTTGAAAGTAGTGCATGCAAACTCTTCTTAGTACACATTTGCACCTGCATCTCTGATTTGCAAAAACTGATGCGTAAAATTTCAAAATAGCAAAATATAAGTCTGTTACAATATTAGCGTGGTTTCGTGCTCTATGCAGTAGAGCATGTTACCTTGCAAATTTGCATCCTTTACCATTTCTAATCGTTACTGTAATCTACTTTCATGCTGCTTGAACTGAGCATTTCGTAGGTATTAGACTTGAAACCTCTAGAGTAGCTGTAACTGCTAGAAGGTCCTGGAGTGCGGTCCCACCTTCCTCCCGTCTCTCTTGCGAAAGAAGGTCACCTTCTACCGTTGACTACTCATTTATCTGGGCGAAATTCCCAGTCCGCTCCTGTCTTTCTGCATTCTCCTTCTGGACCAGGGCTCCTTCACCGAGCGCAGCAGTTATTTCCCGAAGAGTCGGATAGGAGATTAAATACTTTGAAGGCCAGCTGTAGACCCGGATTATTTCCCTTTCCCCTTCCATGTGTCCAACTAAAAACTTTTTCACCTGTCACACTCCTGCTCCTTCCTGCTACAGAGTCGTCGCTAGATCAGTAGTTACGATGTCTGGGGAAAAAAAAGCTCGCATTTTTGCTTAAGCAGTAACGGCCGCGCAAATTTTATGGTTAGGTTTGTCTCAAATCCAAAGACTGAGCCTCCCAACTAGTGAGGAGGGATGCCCCCGAGAACTGAGGAGCTGTGGCCGAGAGTTGGCTGCGGTGGACGGGACAGCTCAACTCCCAAAGAAACTCTCCGCGCTCCGGGAGAAGCTTGGACTCTTGCCGCCGCTTCCGGACACGCCTCTCGGAGAGTCTGGAACTCACTTTCCCAGCAGGCTCCGCGCGGCCCTTGGCGCCCCGCCCCCTCGGGTGTGGGGCTCGGCGCGCTCCGGGTCCTGTCACAGCAAGACCTGTGAGCCGGGCCTGTAGCCACACCCCCTGGCTCCCAGCTCCTTCCCGGACTCCCGCGAGTTCCAGTCCCGGCTTCCAGCTCCCCAGCCCCGCCCTCAGTCGCGCGCGCTCTCCCCACCCCGCCCTCGTTCCCCCGCGTGCGGCAGCCACAGCCAATGAGGTTTGGGGCCGCGTGCGCAGATTCAAACGGCGGCTCTTGAGAGAGGCTGGGCGCGAGATTCGGCGGTGCGGACAAAACCCTGCAGGGGGCTACGAGCCCTGCAGAGCTGCCCGCTGCGGGGAGTGGGCTGGGGTCGGCGCCCGCGGCAGAGCCGCGCTGGGACCGAGGCGAGGAGGCTAAGAGGCGGCGGGAGGGGCCAGGGGAGGGAGGGAGCGTGCCTGCTAACATGTTGGGGGCACCCCTGACCGGGCCGGGCCGGGGCTAAGGAGCAGTGCTGCGGGGACCGGGGGCGGGTCGCGGTCCGCCCCTGCCTTCCTCCGTCCTGTCCTGCCGGGGACCTGCGTTCCGCACTCGGTCGGCCTCGGAGCGGGAGCGAGGAAAGCGGCGGGGGAGGGTCGGGGAGAAGGAGCATTCGCCCGAGGCTGGAGGAGGCTGACTCGCGTCCCCGCCCAGCCCGCGCCTATGCGGTACTTGAAGGATGGCGAAGAGGTCGCGCAGGTGGGTGACATCCCTTTTGCCCAGGCCTTTGGGCACAGCCTCAGCCCAGATTCCTTTTCTATTCCCGCTGAGTTTCCCCCCCGCGCCTACTCGGGCCCTCCAAGGCCGGGGCAGAAGTTTTCCTTCCCGCTGCCCTACAGCCGCCTCGGCCCACTAGCCAGAGCGCAGCCGTGACGTGTGGAGAGTTGGGGACCAGGGCATTTCGGACTCAGAAAGTGAGCAACAGATGCCCTGGCGACTCCTTGGAGTCGATTCTCCCCACAGTGCACGTCCAGCCTCCCACTGTCCCACAGCCACTTCTTGCGATTTGTTGGCAGGTTAGTCGGTGCGCTTTCAGGGAATACGCTCCGCACCGGAAGGTGGTGGCGTCCTGCCCGGGCCTGAAAATGCTGTTCCTAGGACCTCTCTGAATTCCTGAGCCAGTTACAAACAGGGGCTCTGTGATGCACGTGGGTTGGGGACCCCTCTGCTATCCTGAAAGATGTGGAAGTCCTCTGAGGAATAGCTGAGGAGAGAGTACTTTTTTTGATGTTTACTGTGATTACCATACCCATGGTCTCAGTTTCCTTCTACTGGGAAGATGTCACACTTAACACCAGTAGCTTGATCTTAAAATAAAACAATGTGTTTGATTCGCTTAATATTTTGTGTGTCCGTTGGACTCTGTACCTGAGGGTTGCATTTCTTTGGTAGGGCATTTCTTTGGTGGTGGTGGTTTTTGGAAAACTTGCTAGGGTGAATTTATGCATTTCGGTTTTATTTAAAGGTCACTCTAGTAGCTACTCCTAAACTGAGTGTGTAGGAATCACTCATATGACAAAAAACACTAGGGTGTCTTTTAGTTGTCAGTATTATTCAATAAATATGAAAAGTTGTTTGACAGAGTTTCCAAATGGTTTTATTTATCTGGATCCACAACTTCAAAGTCTCAATTAGAGGTGTATTTCCCAAGTTGAAATTTAGTAGTAACTTCATTCATTGCAGATGTCTGTTAAAAATTGTCAACAATCAGTCACACCATAGTATTTGTTGCGCTGTTCATTTATTAAGCATCTGCTGTATGTAAGGTATTTTTGCAGAAATCAGCATAGAATGTAATTAAGTCCCTGTTAGATTATTTTGTACTAACTACCGAACAGATCAAACTTTTGAAGTGGAACAAATACACACACACACACACACACACACACTTGAAGAGGATTTTCAACCTAGGCACAGTTAATATTTGGGATCAGATAATTCTTTGTATTAGGAAGGCAGTGGTGGGGGAAGTGGGGAGTGCTGTCCTGTGCTTTGTAGAATGTATCGCAGCATCCCTGGCCTCTGTCCTATGGATGCCAGTAACACCTCACTTCCCCAGGTGTGTCAATCAAAAAAATGTCTTCAGACATTACCACCAAATGTCTCTTAGGGGGCAAAATCACCCAGGTGAGAATTACTGCTCTAGAACATCAAGGACCTGACTTACTTGTCCGTCTTCAGAAAAGATAGATATTAAAAGCTCCTGTAACTATAATTACTGAGGTATTGATTTAGGCCTTTTCTTTTGAATTTTTAAGCATCCTTCTTTAAGCAGGATGACAGATGAATATTGTCAACTCAGTAACAGGAGTTTGTGTTCAGTGTGCGGCATTACCTACTTGTCCGTATTGATGTTAATTTTATTTGAAATAGTTTCTTGGCTAATGCTGTCATCAACAGTTAGTTATGGTTAGACATGGATGCTTGAATGTCAGAACCCTGCCCTCTTCAGTTAGTTTTTCATCCATAATTTGTGTATGTTTCATAATAATAGGCTAAGAAGAAAGTGATTTCATGATTAATTTGCTAGTGTAAGTTATTTTGTTTTATTGACAATATTGTGAGCTTTGAGATCTAAATATTAATGGTACTATGACTTTTATTCCTGTCAGCTGTATAAATTAATTGAAATTATTATAGAATTATTGAAAGAGTCATAAGTCTGGAGTAATTAAATGTAGTGAAACTACACTCCCTATGTGAATATATGGATAGATGTGAGAAACTGTTATCTCTGAATGGTGTATTTCTTAGAGTCTTCATCCTTGAATGTGTTTTGTTCTATAAATTCTATTTCTTGTGTATGTAAATATGACTTATTTGCCATAGAAAATAATAGAATATGAAATGTTTTGAAGGATAAATAATCTTTATTCAGCAAAGCCTAGTCTCATGCCTTAAACTAAGCATCTTACTAATAAATATGAATCTAATTTATAGTTGAATGAGAAAGGACATGAGTCAGTCACTTTGAAGTCTCCACTATACAACCATTGAACTGTTTGACTGAAAACTCTATACTTTGCTGTATAAATGTTTTGCATAAGACTACAGGCATAAATCCTGTAATAACCCTTCCTGTATGATCTGAAAAAAAAAGTAAAAAAACTGTTACCTCAGGGAGAAACAGCTGTAGGATATTAGCTCTTTTGATCATTGTTTAAGATAGCTGTAGTATGTCTGATCTGGATTTACATAGAGGAAAAAGTTTATTTAGTGTTGTGACTTTAAATAGTTTTAGGTCCCATTGGGGGGACCTAATTTATGTCCCATTTTAATGACATAATTTACAGGCAGTACTAAAATTGGTATATATGTTATTAATGTGTACTTGATATTTAACCATACTTATGTATTAATAAGTAATTTTAGATTTTAAAAGCCAGTTCCACTCTTAAAAATTAGCGTTAAAAGATGTCATTTAGAAGCTAGAAGATGTATTTAAGTAGTAACAGATTCAGGTATTTACCCTTGAGATGACTGGCAACTACATTAAACTGGAAAGACAAAAGCCAACTCTTGAATTAGAATATGTTTTTCCACGAGGTATGTGTGTGCATAGGAAGCAATTTTACTGTGTTGCTTCTAGTGGGATGGTGTCGTGGGTGAACACAGAATACTGGAATATGAGAACTGATATATTTAATCAACTTTGTAATTAGCAGTATTATTTGGAGAAAGCAAGTAAACTCTATATCCCAGTTTTTGTCTCTTAATATAAGAGGTTTGGATTTTGTGGTCTATGAGTCTTTTAATATATTTCCTATTTTGAACTCTTTTTGTAATCATCTTTCCTCATTTAAAAATATACACACACTAATGGAATAAAATAAAAATGTTCTTGCATTGTTTTTGTTTACGGATCGCTAGGTAGATCTCTCTTCAGTATATATTTCATTATTGCTATTCAGGTCAGATGAAGTCCAATTTGTCTTACTAGGTTGCAGTCCAGATTTGAAAGTAAGATATTCATGTATGCAGTACATCATGTTAACCACTGGGTGGCCTGATTTCACTTTATTAAATTAAGCTGGTAAATTTTCATGCCTTGAATTTGATTGAACTTAAAAAAATGCAAATGCACAGTTATCCTGTCAAGACAGTATAATAAAGATGTATTTTTTTATTATAATAAAAATATTTAGGCTTGATGCAGTTTAATTTAAAATACTGTCAAGTTGAAGTGGTTTTGCTAGAACAAATTTTATAGAACTACTGATAATTCTCTAATTTCAAATCTGTAGTTTCTATTCAAATAAAATAAATTTTAAACAATTCAAATTCTTTTGCACACCTCATTTTAATCTTTTCAGGTGGAATTATTGATGTCCTTTAAAATTGAACTTCTCTTGAATGTTTTATCTTGATATTGCCAAGTGTGAATAGTTTTTGTATTATTTCACAAGGAAAGTTCTGAGTATCACATCCTATTAGCTTAACCCCAGTGTAGAATTACTTTTAAACAATTTTCCTGGTCTATTGAGTCATATATTTGTGTGTGTGTGTCTGTGCTTCCTTTTGTTGTTTCATAGTTACCCTAATCGCTTTGTTCATATCTACAAAAGTTTTTGAACATAGTACTTAGGTTATATATTAGACAGTTACAGAATAAATATTTTCTTTGACTTAAAAAATAAAACTGGCAGAATGATTCTGGAAACCAATTCCTGGAGAGAGATTCAGAGACCAAATTCCTCTTCTATTTTTGCCTTGTGACTGGAGAAATAATTTCACCTATTTTTACTGTCTTCTAGATTAGTCACTCTAGGCTAGAAATGGTTCATCTATTTATAGATAGATAGTAGAAAGTTGACTTTATTTAGCTATTAGATATTGCCAGCATTGATTGCTATAATTCAGAAATACTAAAAAATGAAATAAAAAGCAGAAAAATAAGGCAAATAAAGCAAATGAAATATGATTTGTTTTGGTGGTGTCTAATGTTTTGAGGGTGTCTAACCATTATTAAGGCTTCCCTGATAGGCTCAGTTGGTAAAGAGTCCACCTGCAATTAACCTGGGTTGGGAAGATACCCTGGAGGAGGGAAGGGCTACCCGCTCCAGTATTCTGGCCTGGAGAATTCCAGGGACTGTATAGTCCATGGGGCTGCAAAGAGTCGGACACAACTGAGTGACTTTGACTTCACTTCACTTCAACAATTATTAAGCAATGAAACTTTTTCACTGTTAAGTGGTAAAAGTAGAACATTGGTGAGGTTATTCGTGGGGTTTTATCCCTTCCCATTTTTCTTTGCAAAGCGCAGGCATCCTTAGGCATCTTTATGTTGTTCAGTTCAGTTGCTCAGTTGTGTCTGACTCTTTGTGACCCCGTGAACCGCAGCATGCCAGGCCTCCCTGTCCATCACCAACTCCCGGAGTCCACCAAAACCCATGTCCATTGTGTCGGTGATGCCATCCAACCATCCCACCCTCTGTCATCCCCTTCTCCTCCTGCCCTCAATCTTTCCCAGCATCAGGGTCTTTTCAGATGAGTCAGCTCTTTGCATTAGGTGGCCAAAGTATTGGAGTTTCAGCTTCAACATCAGTCCTTCCAGTGAACACCCAGGACTGATCTCCTTTAGGATGGACTGGTTGGATCTCCTTGCAGTCCGAGGGACTCTCAAGAGTCTTCTCCAGCACCACAGTTCAAAAGCACCAATTTTTTGGCGCTCAGCTTTCTTTATTGTCCAACTCTCACATCCATACATGACCACTGGAAAAACCATAGCCTTGACTAGACGGACCTTTGTTGACAAAGTGATGTCTCTGCTTTTTAATATGCTGTCTAGGTTGGCCATAACTTTCCTTCCAAGGAGTAGCTAGTGATAATTTTCTAGGATCTTTTTCTGTCACGCTTACTTGAAAGTTTTATCATCCTTTTAACGATTATAATAATACAGATAAATAATAACGATAAATAATACAGAAATAACTTAATGCTCACACCAAGAAGTAGTTAGGTAGATAGATTCTAGGAAAGTCCCAGTGGTAGAGAGATGGATTCTAAGAATTCTGCTTTAATCCTCCCTCACACTCAACCACTCAAAAAACCCAGCTTCCTGAACATGATGGCACTGCTCTTGCACAACAGATAATGAAACCTCTTGTAGAAATAGAAATTTCTCACAAATCAAGTATGTGGTTAAAAAATAAGGCAGATTTTTAAAGTTAAAATGAACACGTTTTCAGGAAGATCATTCCTTGGAAACTAGTCTTTTGACCAAAACAACATTTTTGGACACATTATCTTTAAAATGTTTTGATAAGAACCTTATGGTGAATTTTGTACAGATTAATGTAGGTATTTCTGTGAATAATCAAAGTTTATATGAATGAGTCCCCAAATTTAAAGTTATTTTTAAATAACCTAATTTTTAAAGCATAATTTTAAAATATGCTGTTGGGGAAGCTGTTGGGGTGTGAGAAAAGGGAATAAAAGAGGGAACCTGTAAAAACCATAACTTAACAGCTGTTTGAGAAGGCTGAAGTGTTAATGTTGTGGGGAACAGTTGTAGGAAAGGTTAGGCTGTATTGGTAGATACCTCAAAGAACACCTTGTGTACTGAATATTTTCTTTACATTTGTTTCAGCAGGTTTATGCTTCTTAAAATTCCACCACTTGGCAGTGCATTTGGATTTTGAAAGTTCTTTTTATGGGAGTATTTTTCACCTCCTCTTAGAGGTATTTTAATTTGTTTAACAAAAAAGTTGTTTTTTTTTTTCTCATATCAATTTGAGATTATCTATATTGAGGGAGGTGGAAGTTTTGATTGGGTTGGGAAAGAGTGAGGTAATTTTGGAATACAGAATAGTTGGAGGAGGTGAAAGAGTAAGTAAGATCGTTCAATAATTACACACACATTTGAATGGTCAAGTCCTGGGATTAGTGCAGAGAGGTGAACGTATTAGACATGGTCTTTGCAGTCCTGAGTTGTTTGGTTGGGAAGCATAGATGCCATGAGTGCATGTAGTGGACAGTAAGCTTTGGTGTGGCGTTTTATCAGGTTTAATAGCTGCCTTAGAAATTTATGACGTCATTGCATCCTGAACTGTCTCCAACTTAGAATTTAATCATAGTTAATCAGGTGATATTTCTGATAGCTGAAGATGGCTGCAAATAACAGGTATGTCTTTAATTAAACCTGTGCTTTTATTTTCAGCATAGTTTATCAAAACAATCATATATTGGAAATGAAGGACTGGCAGATTATTAAATAGACATTGGCTTTAGGGGAGTAAGCGTTGGAATACTGAAGTGCATTGAACTAGAGAAGCAGTTAGGTGTCATAGATAGTTGGGTGGAGGATTTTGGTGTCGTCAGATAATAATTTTTGGTCAGATGGAATTGACAAATCAAGGAAATTAGAAGTTCCTGCAAAGGCTCTGTAAACAATATACATTAAATCTAGGCCTTCATTTTCCACAATGTCTGTTACTCAGAAAGGTTAAATAAATATTAGCTCATGTTATTTTCAGATGTTCATATCTTGGTTCAGTCCACTGACTACTCAGGATTCTCTAATTCAGTTTATCGTTAAAACCTGCTCTCTTTTCTCGGGTTTTGTGCTCTCGTGGCTTTAACTTTTGTCTGTGTGCTAGTGATTGCCAAAACTAAGTCTCCCCTAGACCTAGAGATGAGCAGAAGATCCACATGCCCAGTTGTCTTCAGGATCTGCTCTGCCCAATAGGAGAGCAGATAGGTCACACGTGGCTGTTGAGCTCTTCATGTATGACTAGTCTGAATTGCTGTGTACTTTTTATTTTATTATATCTAAAAATTTTTATTTTTATATTTCTGGTTAGCTGTGTCTGCAGCTAGGAATTTACTTTGTTGCTCCTGGGCTGTTTTATCAGCTTCATCTTGTTATTTTTCTCTCTTGCCTTTGGCTCTCTTTTCTCCTGGACAATGCCATGCCAGATTTCAAAGACTTAAGTAAGAAGAAAAGAATGTAAAACATTTGTGATTATGTTGATTACATGTTGAATCGATCACTTAAAAATAGATTGGGTTAAATAGTATTTATTATTAAAATTAATTTCACCTGTTTTTTAAACTGTGGTTGCTAATAAATTACTTAGGTGGCTTGCATTATGTTTCTACTGGACAGTGCTTTGTAGGTATATCTAGTATCCACCTGTGTATTTCTCAAGTACCTTGAAATCAGTCCAGGCTACTTACTCTCCTCATTCCCTTTTCCTTCCCAAAGTTCTTTTTCTTCTTCTATTCCTTATCTCAGCAGATAGCTCTATGTTTTCAAAGCCAGAAATTTTGGAGTTGTCCTTGAATCTTCTTTCCATGTCTCTCATATTCATGAGTTGAACAAAATCCTTTTGTTTCTACTTTTTTTTCAGTTTTATGTGTGTCTTTCTGTTGCTACTGTCATGACTATAGTTGATTTATTCTTTTATGGTTTCTCAATTTTTGTCCATTTAGATCTCTTCTACTCAAGGATATTAATAGGGCTTCCCTGGTAGTTCCAATGGTAAAGATTCTGCCTGCAATGCAGGAGACCCGGGTTTGATCCCTGGATCGGAAAGATCCCCTGGAGAAGGAAATGGCAACCCACTCCAGTATTCTTGCCTGGAGAATTCATGGACAAAGGGGCCTGCCAGGCTACAATCCCTTGGGTTGCAAAGAGTCGGATAGGACGGAGCAGTTAACACTTTCACTTTCACCGTAATAGGTACTGTTATGCTTTCATTTTTAAAAGTGTAGAATATTTGCTTCATCTGAATTCTTTTTTTTTTTTGAATTCTTTTATTTTAAAGTAGGACTTTAGCTTTATTTTTAAAAATAACTACCCACTGTCTTACCCTTTGTTGAAAAGTCCATCTTTACCACACTGATTGATATTATAATTGATGAAATTCCCATGTGAGTTTTTTTTTTCTGAATATTCTATTCTTTTCCACTGATTTGAGTATTATTGTTTCTCTGCAGTATTTTCTGGTATTTGGTAGTGCTAATTCTCTCTCTCTCTTTTTAGAGTTTTTCTGGGTATTACTGCTTGTTTGTTTTTCTATATGAACTATAGAATCAGCTTGTCTAAGTTCCTCTGAAAATCTATTGGTATTTTTATTCATTTAATTTAAATTTATGAATTAATTTACAGAGAATGGACATCTGTAATATTGTTTTCATGCCCAAGAATGTGGTCTGATTGTTTTTTTCATTTGTTCTTCTGTGTCTCCTGATAGTGTTTTGTAGTTTACTATATGTTGATCTTGTATATTCAAATTATTTCTATATATTTTAACTTTTTTGTTGTTGGTGTTGTAAATGGCTCATTTCTTACATTATGACTTTTAACTGACTCTGTTTTGTATTTTACCATTATCATTGCCAGGTCCTAATAATTTCTTACTTGGATTCTCGTGAAAGATTACTTCCATCTTGTGAAAGATCTTCCTCCATCTCTCCACATTCCTGCCAGTGTTTTTTTTCTGAAACACAAGATATTTGCCTTTTACTCCTTTACTTAAATTCCTTTAACTCTGTAGGGTAAAGATCAGATTAAGAATAAAGGCGAAACTCCTTAGCATGACATAAAGGTTATCACTTGACCCTTGCTGACATATCTAGCTTCATTCCTCTAGTATCAGTAAGCACTATAGCTCCTGTCCATTATGTGACTGTTAATATTTTTATACTTTGAATAATCTCATTGGACATATGTCTGCTAGTCTGAGTGACTTATTTAGTTGTAACTATGTGTTCAGATCCGGTGATTGAATTCACATATTTAAATAAAATTCTTGATTTCAAATTGTGTTGTTTTCAGTGAGGATGAGGATGATGACCTTCAGTATGCTGATCATGATTATGAAGTACCACAACAAAAAGGGTTGAAGAAACTCTGGAACAGAGTAAAATGGACAAGAGACGAGGTGATTATGTGTAATAAGGTTTACTAACTGCATACTTGTATTTGTTGAGTAATAAGATATTTATTAAAGATACTTAAAAACACAACATGAGAAAAGTTATCCTTCAACTAACATGCACATTTTTCTTTTTCAACCATACATGAAGAGTGGGTTGATGTTGAGACTGACAGAATCAGTTCAGTAAATGGGAGAACATGTGTGATAATGGCTTCAGTGCTTCTAAAAATGGCCACCAGATATGACATGAAAGAATTGGACAGTATATTCAGGAATAGGGGAATAGGGTGAGGGAAAGCTTTTTCATTTTCATAAACCTGTTTTAATAGGATGACAAGTTAAAGAAGTTGGTTGAACAACATGGAACTGATGATTGGACTCTAATTGCTAGTCATCTTCAAGTAAGTGAAACACTGTTTTATACTGCTAACACAAATGATTTAGGCCATGGGGTTACATTTGCTGTTTTTCAGAAGTGTGTCTACGTTATTTTAGATTTAGGTTCCCGTCCTAAAAACAACTGTTTTGTTCTGCTCTTCCTACAGTTGGAAACTTAGAAAGTCTGTTTTTTTTTTTTTTTTAGTAATTAGTTTATCCAGGGATCTAAAAAGATGACTGACATAAAGAGAGGACAGACCTAAAAAGATGACTGACCTAAAGTGAAAATGATACCAAGTTTGGATAGGGTTTTATAAATATTTGCTAATCAATGTTAAAACATTTTGAGAGAAGTTAAGTCTATTGAAATAGTTTGATAACTAATAAAATCAGAAGAAGCTATGTTGCTGTGAGAATTAGAAGTAACGTAGAGGATGTTTGGCACAGTGCCTTATATTTAGCACATGTTCAATAAATAGCATCTAAATTAGAAAAGCTGCTTACATTAGCTTTATCAGTTTAACTTCAGTGGTATAACAGCAAATGTAGTCAACAGAGAAGTGCTGCAAGGACAACCTGATTATTTTGAGAAAATGATAACCTTAAAGTGGATCAGCATTGACGTACCGAAGCTATACATGAAGATGCTCAGTATGAATAAAAACAAGTCCACTAGGCACCAGGAGAGAGCTATGGTTAAATACAGTATTTATATTTGTGTCCTTCTAAATTATCTGTAATCCTGTATATGAACTAATATCTTTAGAAACCGAATCACTAAAGGAGAAGTTGTGTTATTAGTGTTATCCTTGTAATACACAGGACTTACTAGGTCATGAATTGACTAAATATAAGGCTATACTTATTAATCATTTTTCGAGTTTGACATGCTTCTACATAAGGCTTTACCCTGGTAAATTTCATTTTCCTTTTGAACTTCATTGCTTAAATATTTAACTGATATATAATGTATATCAATCTGGATATATTTAGTTTTTTCTTGATAACTTGGAGTTATCATTTATAAACATCCTTTAAATACCATGCAGTAGTCTAGTAATGCCTTTTGGGTTTTTTTTTTAATTGTGTAGAGTTAGGTACTGCTATACTCTATGAATCCAGGCTGCTATGCTGTTTGAGTTTGTACGTCTGCATTGTTTAATTGTCTGTTTACTCCCTTTTATTCATCAGTACATTTCTTAATGTTAGTATCTGTGTTGTTTTGCTTTTTTTGCTGTGTTATCAGGCAGGGTATAGAGATAACAAATTTTAATTTCAAATATATAATTTTTATTTATACTCTAAGCAGTGCTGATAACTTTAATTAAAAATGAATTGGGATACAGACATATAAAATAAATAGTGCATTTTTACAGAATGCCATTGAATGTATTATTACTGGAAACTTTCTTCTTAAGGTTGTGAAAGTTTGGAAGACAATTGTTTATTAACAAAATCATCTAAATTCTTTCAGAATCGTTCTGATTTTCAATGCCAGCATCGGTGGCAGAAAGTTTTAAATCCAGAATTAATAAAGGGTCCCTGGACTAAAGAAGAAGATCAGAGGGTAACATGTTCATATTCTTTATTTTCACTGTGTAGGTGGACTTGCTTTTTTTCTTACTAATACATTGTTTTTTTTGTCACATAAATATATGCTTAAATCACCTTGATTTGTTCTCTGAGTACTGCTTGCACTAGAATTGAAAATTGAGTATTTTGAGATGTAGTTTTTTCATAATTGAGTCAAACCAAGTGTAATATAATACAGCTTTTGCTGTCTGAAAGTTTGGTTTGTAGAATAAAAAATATTGTCAGCTTAGTCACCTTTTTAGAACTTAGGTTAGTGACATTTAGGGCATAGTTTTTTACCGAAAATTCGGTTAGCATTTTAAAAACAGAATTTAATTTTATTCTTATTTTACATGAAAACTTGAGGTATAAGGAAGTTATTCTTTAACTTTCCCTCTTAACCTAAAATGGGCTTCCATATAAGACAGATATCTTATCGTCATTTTCCCAGAGAGCTGGAGGATTCAAAACCAAGGTAATTCTTTGTGTTATAAAACTGTGAGAAGAATGGGAGAGTTACTGTCCTCTTCTGAGAATTACCCTTTAGTTTGTGCTCTTTATGGCATCATGTTATTAATGTCGTTGGGAAATTAGAGCATTTTTACTGCCACTCAAAAAAAAAAAAATCACTAGGCTCAGAACTGATCTGATTTACTTGTTGGCCAATGGTAAGTTTTAAAATGTGTGATTTGTATCCTTTCAGTTTGAGAAAGAAAGTAATGAATAGACAGTAACTATAAATCCTTCCTGTTTCCAAAATGATTTATTTGGCTTTCAGCTAAAGCATTAAAAAAATGTAAGAGTAGAAAATCTTTAAGTCTCAACATTTTACTGTTATTTCATATTAATTTTGTATGAAACAATTTAACTTATGGGTCACTTTAAAACCTTGTATTTAGATAAGTTTGGGATCAATTTTTGAACTTGGCAAATGCTGAAGGAATATTTTTAGTAAAATTGTTTTTTTAAATTATACTTGTGGTTTGGATTTAATGCATTAAAAATAGCATTCTTGAATTATGTTTTAAGATTCTATCAAGGTAGTGCTTTTTAAAAATTGAGATATATGGGACTTCCCTGGCGATCCAGTGGATGAGAATCCACACTCCCAATGCATGGGGCACTGGTTTGATCCCTGATTGGGTAGCTAAGATCCTACATGCCATAGGTGGTGGCCTAAAAAAACAGATAAATAAAAATTGGGATATAATTATGTATTAGTTTCTGGAGAAGGAAATAGCAACCCACTCCAGTATTCTTGCCTGGAAAACCCCACAGATGGAGGAGCCTGGCAGGCTACAGTCCATGGGGTCGCAAAGAGTGGGACATGACTGGGTGACTTTACTTTCACTTATATATTAGTTTCAGATGTGCAACATAATATATATATATTATGACAGTCAGTTCAGTCGCTCAGTTGTGTCCGACTTTTTGAGACCCCACGGATTGCAGCACACCAGTCTTCCCTGTCCATCACCAACTCCCAGAGCCTACTCAAACTCATGTTCATCGCCTTGGTGATGCCATCCAACCATCTCATCCTCTTTCATTCCATTCTCTTCCCGCCTTCAGTCTTTCCCAGCATCAGGGTCTTTTCCAGTGAGTTGGTTCTTTGCATCAGGTGGCCAAAGTATTGGAGTTTCAGCTTCAGCATCAGTCCTTCTAATGAATATTCAGGGTTGATTTCCTTTAGGATGGACTGGACTCCTTACAGTCCAAGGGACTCTCAAGAGTTTTCTCCAACACCACACAGTTCAAAGCATCAATTCTTTGGTGCTCAGCTTTATAGTCCAACTCTCACATCCATACATGACTACTGGAAAAACCATAGCTTTGATTAGACAGACCTTTTTTGGTAAAGTAATGTCTTTGCTTTTTAATATACTGTCTAGGCTGGTCATAGCTTTTCTTCTGAGGAGCAAGCATCTTTTAATTTCATGGCTGCAGTCACAGTCTGCAGTGATTTTGGAGCCTCAAAGATAAAGTCTGTCACTATTTCCATTGTTTCCCCATCTATTTGCCATGAAGTGATGGGGCTAGATACTATGATCTTAGTTTTCTGAATGTTGAGTTTTAAGCCAGAGTTTTGCTCTCTTTCACTTTCATCAAGAGGCCCTTTAGTTCCTCTTCACTTTCTGCCATAAGGGTGGTGTCATCTGCTTGTCTGAGGTTGTTGATATTTCTCCCAGCAATCCTGATTCCATCTTGTGCTTCAACCAGCTCAGCATTTCTCATGATGGAATCTGCATATAAGTTAAATAAGCAGGGTGACAGTATACAGCCTTGACATACTCCTTTCCCCATTTGGAACCAGTCTGTTGTTCATGTCTAGTTGCTTCTTGACCTGCATACAGATTTCTCAGGAGGCAGGTCAGGTGGTCTGGTATTCCCACCTCCTTAAGAATTTCCCACAGTTTGTGTGATCCACACAGTCAAAGGCTTTGGTGTAGTCCATAAAGCAAAAGTAGATGTTCTTCTGGAACTCTCTTGCTTTTTCGATGATCCAAAAAATGTTGGCAGTTTGATCTCTAGTTCCTCTGCCTTTTCTAAATCCAGCTTGAACATCTGGAAGTTCACGGTTCACCTACTGTTGAAGCCTGGCTTGGAGAATTTTGAGCATTACTTTGTTAGCGTTGTGAGATGGGTGCAATTGTGCGGTATATTTGGTAATTCTTTGGTATTTTCTTTCTTTGGGATTGGAATGTTAACTGACCCTTTCCAGTCCTATGGCCACTGCTGAGTTTTCTAGACCACTGCAAATCTTGTAAATATCTATCCCCGTACATAGTTACTCATATTTTTTCTTGTGGTGAGAACTTTTCAGATCTACTCTCTTAGCAGCTTTCAAATATGCAATACAGTATTACTAACTATAGCCACTGTACTATACAGTATATCCACATGATTTATTTATTTTTTAAAAAATCATACTTTTTAAACTTTATTTTTCTATTTCTTAGGTTATTGAATTAGTTCAGAAATATGGGCCAAAAAGATGGTCTTTAATTGCAAAACATTTAAAAGGAAGAATAGGCAAACAGTGTAGAGAAAGATGGCATAATCATCTGAATCCTGAGGTAAAGAAGTCGTCCTGGACAGAAGAGGAGGACAGGATTATCTATGAAGCACATAAGCGGTTGGGAAATCGTTGGGCAGAAATTGCCAAACTACTTCCTGGAAGGTACTTATACTAATGAATATATATTTTCCTGTACTTTAAACTTGATCTTTATTATGGTTACTATTAAATATATTTATAGGTACCCCATGACTTTTATTTATAATTAAAATTTAGACTGCAGAGTACAAGCAGCCCTTTGCGATATTTGTAGTACATTTTGTGGGAAGGGATGTAATTATTTTTTTAACAAAATATTTTATAGCGGTAATTTGTGCAACAAAATGATAGACCTTTAGATTATGTAAACATTTAATGCACGCCCCCAAATTATGGTTACATGTCAGTGCCAGTCAAGCAGTCTTGCTACAAACTAAGCTGTAATGGAATCTAAGTTGAAGAGATTTCTTTCATATTGGATTCTTTGCATAAGACCAGAGAATAACAAATACACTGGCTGAAATAAATTGCTCTGAAAGTGCATTAGAGAAAATTTAGTTCTTAATTAATGCTTTAGATCCTGAGTAGTATATATATATCCATGTGGCTAAAATATGGAGTTTCCATCAGGAGCAGTGATGGGATACATATACACTATACATTGGTTCAGATGTTTCCTAGCCATTTGTAGTACAGTAGACCAGCAATTTTGGGAAAATCCATTCCTCACTCAGAAGGTGTGCACTTGTTTTTTTATTGTTGTAGTCTCTGTCTAGTACATAGTAGTTAATTAAATGCATTTACATGTATCCTTTCTTTTTAGAGAAATAAAACACTTTTATTGTTGAATAAACTTTAACTCAGAATGTGATGCCCATCATAGGCAATCTGATAAGAGACTGGAAAAAAAAAAAGAGAAATCTCACCTTTCACCCACATGACCAAGCAGATGTCCATTACATGTAGGTTCTCAAGATAATATTTGGTCCCAAGTCAGAAAACTTGACAGCACCATTTTATTTCATGTAGTTCATTGTGTATTTATCTAACAATTGGGAGTGCCCATCTGTTGTCAGTTATTGACTTTATGTAAAGGAAAAACAAACTTCTCATATCTTTTTGTTAGAAGGTAGTTTTACAACTTGGAACCAGGTCAGCTAAAGTTGAGCTCCTTTCCTGATGAAACTTGGAGATAGAGCACTATATTCTATATAGTCTTAGTTAATCTTCATATACTTGTGAAATAATGCAGAGCAACATTGCTGTATTTGTCTTATAGATAGAGAAATTAAAGCTTAGTGTTAAGTTTTTTATCCAAGTTACTGAACCTGGTTTAGGAACTTGTGATGTATTCAGTCTCTGATACATCTTTTTACTGTCCATAGAATGTAGCTTAATACTTAGCATAAAGTAGGTTCTCAGTAAATGTATATTTTTAAAAATGTATACTATAAGTAGCTGTAGGTTAAAGGCTTCCATTTTTACAAGGGGGTCTTAGGTAAAAGGGGAGCCAATGAACTTTTTCTTTTGTAGGTGTTTTGATGATAAGAAGTGAAGATGAATACTGGGATTCTGTCTTTTTATGACCATATTTGATCTTGGCTTCAAGGCTTTTGCCCTTGTTATGCTCTTTATCTGGAATGCTCTTTTTTTTTTTTCTGTTCTTGTATTACTAGTTCATTCTTGTCCTTCAGATTTTAGCTTCACTGTCACCTCAAAATTGCTCAAAATCAAAATTACTATAGTTACTCACTTTCTCTTATTACTTTAAATGATCTGCATTGCACTGTTTTTCTTATTTATTTTTTTGTTTTTCTCTTCTTCCCTCCTTCCCTGCTGCCATGCTTCCTCTGAAGATGTAAGCCCCACGAGAACTGGGACTTTATCTTATTGCCTTATCTCCAGTGTTTAGAAGTGTATTTGACATACAGTATATTTTTTTAATTAAAAAAAGTATCTAATTTTACCAGTTGTAAAAATTTAAGTACTTTGTATACTTTATATGGTGTTAAAAATGTATGGAGTCCTCTTTTTCTTTTTTAAATATACACTTTAATTTCTTAGGACTGATAATTCTATCAAAAATCATTGGAATTCTACTATGCGAAGAAAAGTGGAGCAGGAAGGCTACTTACAAGATGGAATAAAATCAGAACGATCTTCATCTAAACTTCAACACAAACCTTGTGCAACTATGGACCATTTGCAAACCCAGAATCCATTTTACATACCTGTTCAGGCACATATTTTTAATTCTTTTTTTGTTTAAAAATCTTCTTTAGTTGCTGTATGGGAAGGTGTTTAGTTTCTTAGTAGGATAAAAACAAAATATATTAAGGGAAATAGACATTTAAATTTCCAAAATGAAAAAATATGCCATTAATAACTGTCTAACCATTGTTGTTGTTTAGTCCCTGTCATGTCCGACTCTTTGAAACCCCATGGACTGTAGCCCGCCAGACTCCTCTGTCCATGGAATTCTCCAGGCAGGAATACTGGAGTGGCTTGCCATTTTCTTCTGTATTAGTGGAAGTTTATCTCTGCTTGTTTTGATTGATAAATATTTTGGGAACAAATTCATTAAAATATTTCCTTTTATATATCATTTTTACAGTATCTAGTTACAAAACTTAGTATGTACATTTCCTAACTGTCATTCTCTGAATCTTCATGATTCAAAGCTAATGATCAGTTGTGCTTTAATATCGATTATAGTTTTCTTTAAAAAATTTTTTTTGTGTGATTGTAGTATAGCTTGCCTCTAAGAAGTGAGTGTATATAAATAATGGTTTAAAGGAGAAAATAGTCACAAATATTTCAAGCCATCATTTAGGGGTGTGTGGTAAATAATTGGTTCTTTGGCATTCAACTTTGCTGTTCCCTTATCACTTAGCTGAGTGAGTGAATTCAGCCTTTGTTCAGACAGGTTCATTGCAGATTACCCACATTCATCATAGGGCAGGCTCTGTTTTCTTTTCAGAGCATTTTCCTACCTGCAAGAAATTAGGCATTTTCATGAGTTTTGTTTTACGTTTTCCCTGTCAACTTGTCTGTTGTGCCATTTTTCATGTTGAGCAGTTCTTAATTTTTGTCACATAGACTGTAAAGATTAAGTTAGAACTTAAAAGTATCTACTGCAAGATTAAGTTTGGCTTGTGGTTAACAATCTGTGCTTAGTATACTTCAGATTTAATTTTATACCCCTAAATGGACATTATTTTTTTTAGACATAATTTCCAAAGAACCTCTTTAAAAAGGTCATGACATCTTAATTTACAAATAGGAAAACTTGCAAAGACAGTACAGTTATCTGCTGATACTTAGTACCTTAAGATTTCTGTTGTCTGTTTCTTTACATTTTTCTTTAGAGTCCTAGATTTCAGCAGCATAAACTGAAACATTCTGCTTCTGCCTTAAAGGTTATCTTTAAATTTATTTCTTTTAACTCATAGGATAATTTTTTAAATTATTTGGGGCCAATTGAGTGTTTAATACTCTCAATCAGAATATATTGGAAAGTGAGAGTATTTCTTATACTTTAAGAATTATTTACCTTTTAATGATTCTTGAAAGATTTGTGTATTCATAGTTCAAGTCATTTGAAAAGCTAATTCTAATTTTGACTTGAAAGAAAAAAACGGATTGGTATGAAGTACTGTCACAGGTTGAAATGAAAAGTTTGAGAAAAATGTTTGTAATTCATTGGAAATTGAGCAGTAACTGATATTAATCAAATGTAAAAATTAAGTTCTGTGTTAGAAGTTATACATAATGCTTCTGCATTAAGTGATTTGCATAGGCCATTATGGAAGATAGACAATTTCCTATTTATATTTACTAGATTTTAAGGTTTTAAAAAATCTTAATGAGGTTCTTCTCAAATTTATCCCTACCACTGCACGCTAAATTTGCATGCAACTTCAAAAATTTTATTACAGATTCTTTAGAAAAGAGACAGAATAATTCTTTGTCTATTGTCAAAGTATTAAAAATACATGAATGATTCTGATTGTTTTTCTGAGACAAATAATAGAAGCAGCCTCTGTTTTCATATCTGTCTGTACAGAGCTTGGCATGGGGTGAGGGGCGATGGTAGGAGTAGGAGATGTGAATGTTGAAGACTTGCTTTAGTCTCCAGCTGCCTAAGTGCTTCGTATGGACCAGTCAGTCCATTCCTTTGAACGATAGAAACACAATTAGTTTGTCTTCTCCAGGAGATAGAGCAATCTTTTAATAGCAGATTTTAAAAAACACTTGGTAGATATTGTAGATAATAAGTAGACTGATTGGGTGAATCTAGCCCAAGTAATTCTCATATTTCATTTAGGGGAAAATAGGTCTTTGCTAAGAGTTGTGCCTTATAGTCAATAGATTTTAAGAATAAGATTTAACTATTAAGAAATTATTATATGTGTAAATACTCAAAGTTAACAGATACTGACTTTTCCATGTTGATATTTTATTCAGTTTTTGTGCTTTGCCTCAGATTTTTAAAAATTTATAGTGTTATATGTATGATATTAATGATATTAATTTTAAATTACTTTTTTAGATCCCAGGCTATCAGTACGTATCACCTGAAGGCAATTGTGTAGAACATGTTCAGGCTTCTGCCTTTATTCAGGTAACTTTTTATTTATTAAAAAGCAAAACCCCAAAGGAAACACTCAAACATTTTCAAATTCTAATAGTGCCTGTTTGCTCATCTATAAAATTTCGGCAAAAGCAATACTATCTGATCTACTTATTTTGAGTATTATAACATTAAAGGAGAAAGTTTGTAAGTGTGTTTGAGAAATAGAAACTGTACCAATGTAAAGTAGTTCACAACACCAGTGAGGTGGTTCTTTCTTTCTTCTAACTTAGAACATTCAAGTTATGAGTGAACATATTTTTGCTAAACTGGATAGAATGTATGTATTCAGATTCAATAAATTAAAACAAACTCCACACATAAGTTTTTAAATTGATTAGATGATACAGTGTAAGTTTTTTCATGCATTTAAATTTCCCAAGTCTTTTCTGTTAAATTGAAAATATTTACCAGCACCTCTTTAGGTCTCAGAAGAATTGTGATACTGAATATTTGGAATTTTGTAGTATTAAGCTTTATTAGAGAGAATAGACTTTATGTTGCATAGAAGAAAATAAAACTTAGAACATTAATAATAATAAAAAAGCAATTTTGTAAATAACCTGTTTTTTCTCTTTTGTTTAACTTATTTTAGCAACCCTTTGTAGATGAAGATCCTGATAAGGAAAAAAAAATAAAGGAACTTGAGTTGCTTCTTATGTCGGCTGAGAATGAAGTTAGAAGAAAACGAGTTCCATCAGTAAGAAATAATCTAAAGTGTTTAGATTTTATTGTTAGAATCTTTTATGTGCTTTATATGCTTTTATAGTTTTAATCAGCACTGACTTTTGTATGCCAGCAAGTGGAAAGCATATTCATTGTGATTTCAGATTTTAATATGGACTGAAAATAGTTTTTCTAATTTGCAACTTTGAAGTTGCCTGTTTTTGATATGCATCTCTTGGAACATACTTTACAGTGTTTTGTATTAAGATGCTTCTTGAATAATATCAAACAAACTTAAGGTATAATCTTCAATAAGTATATTTGTGAAAATGTGTGGATTAGATTAGGCTTTGTTTTCTATTAGACATTCCATGTGATGATGGCCTTAATAGAAAAAAAAAACTTAAGGAATTTAATTAGATATGTGGAGAGATTTCTGTGCTTCGAAATTTTTTTTTTCGAAATTATTTTTTATTCTCCCTTTGAAAATGTTTTCTTGTTTACTGTATTAGAACACAAATTCAGTAAATTGGGAAAAGTAATAATGTTTTAAATATAGGAAAAGGGGACATTTAGGTTTTATACTGTCTAAAGAAATCTTTCAGTGGAAGTGGGTTTTGGTTATCAGGTATGAAAAGTATTGTCTGAGATTTGGTTGATGAGAACAACTATGAGTATTAAATCAGGATAAATGATAATGATTCTAGCTAAGTTAAACAGGCTGTGCTAGGAAGAAAAAAAATTTGTATTTAAATGACGATTTTGAAAGTTTAATATCCTGGGATTTTTTACATTTAGGAAAGTGTTTTTCTTGATCTGGGGCTGAGTCAGGGGACAATATATTTAAAGTGACTGGGAACTAATACAAAATTACTAAATAGAATAATGTCAGGGCTTGAAATTGTATTATGAGGCAACTGGCGATGTCTTTAAATCATTTCAGAGAGTATTAGTAAAAATGACATTTGTTAACTGTAGTGGATGAGATAAATACCATGGGAAAAGTAATTTTTGTTTTGAGACTACAAATACCATGGGCAAATAGGGATACCTGAAGTATACTTAAAGTTAATTTCAGCTTTATTAAAAAACTGCAAATAAATAACCATGATTAGAGAGTCCACATTTATAGATAATATATTTAGGTTTAAGCACATTTAAAATTTTTGATAATAGTGTAATTTTGTAATTTAATAGGAAAATATAATGAAAAGAATTGCTATTTAAAAGAATTGCTATTTTGCATTAAAAAGGGAGAAAGTTACTAATTATTTTTTTTCAAACTTGCTATCTAAAATCCACTGTCATAAAGATCTGGTTGAATAAGGAGATTGGCGATTTTAGCGGGAAATTGCTGCACCCAGGATAACAGATTCTATACTCATATAGAGTTATTTTATTCTAGACAATTAGGTGGTAATAATGATTGCCATTTTTCCGAGTATTCATTTTGTTCCACTCTTGTAGATGTGCTAGATGTATTCCTGGTAATCCTTGTATTAACTCTGCAAATTAATTGCTAAGCATTCAGAATCAGATGTATGCGATTACAAAAAATCTATGGTTTTGCCAGTGGGCCTAGTAAGCTCCCTCTTTGAATCTTTTTCCTGCCTGAAAACTAACTTGAAATGTATATGGTTTGAAAGTTACCTCCAAAAAGTGATTGTAAACTCAGAAGGTGTCTATGCTAGTGAAATAAGATTGCTTTAATTTCTTTTATTTATAGGAATCTTTAAAATAGAACTTGTTTTGAAACATTGTTGGAAAGTTATTTTTTCACTTTAACTGGAGACTTAACATTTTTCTATTGTAAATATCTACTACATTCTAGTGATTTTTAATTTTAATAGTAATAGGTACTGTTTATTGAGTGCTTCTAATGGGCTGAGCAAAATGTTCTCTAAACTATGGTAGCTATTAGCCACATTTAATTCAGAATTTAAAAATTCAGCTCCTCAGTTGCACTAGCCACATTGTTGTTGCTCTTATGGCTGGTGGCACCCATGTTGAGCAGCCTCTAGTACAGAACATTTTCATCACCTCAGAGGGTTCTTTGGACCATGCTGTACACTTTACATCCTGTTGCTTCTTGTTTTTTCCTTTTTTTTTTTTGAGATATAATTAATGTATGTACAAAGTACGAAGTGAAGTCATTCAGTCGTGTCCCACTCTTTGCGACCCCATGGACGGTAGCCTACCAGGTTCTGGACCCATGGGATTTTCCAGGCAGGAATACTGGAGTGGGCTGCCATTTCCTCCTCCAGGGGTTCTTCCCAACGCAGGGATTGAACCCGGGTCTCCTGCATTGCAGACAGACACTTTACCATCTCAGCCACTAGGGAAGCCCTGTATAAGTTTAATGTGTACAGCATCATGATTTTACTTACATATTGTTAAGTTTAGTGAACATCCATTGTCTAATATAGATACCAAAAGAAAAGAAAAAGACAAAGGAAAAAAAACTTTTTTTTTCCTAATGATGGAAGCTCTTAGAATCTGCCATTCTTAACAATTCTCAGATGCTGTATTGTTTCTTAACCATGGGTCTTCAAGATCTCGCTTCTTGTTTTTCGTTATGAGACACTAGAAAACTAGGCTCAAAAGATAAGTAAATTGGCCAGTGTACATCTCTAGTGAGATCAGGAAAAATGGCACAGTCCCTGAATTCAAAGGGTTTGCTTTGCAGTGGGGAAACAGTGTGATAAAATAAGTCACAGAGTTTTTTTATGGGAGTTCATAGAAGATTGAGATGTTGGTAGTCAGAAGGGTTCCCTGGAAGAATTCCTATTTGAGCTTGGTCTTGAAAAACAGGTGGTGAGTATATATGAGCAAAAGAGATGAACCTGGACATTCTTATAAACAGAACAGTTAATAGTGTATAATAGGATGGAGTACTTCCCAATATTTGAACTGTATGTTGAATGAGGAATAGGAATTTTTTCTGGTCAGTAGGTTGAGCCTTCTAGATAAAGAGATTGCTCCCTTTTTCTAGGGTAAAAGACCAAAACTCACCGGGAGCTGCAAGTACTACAGTTGGGTATTCAGTATTCCCTGGGAAGAGGGCTTGTGTTGGGAGATGAAGTTTGAAAGGTAGAGAAAAGTCAGATTCTAGGAGTTTGGACCTTATTTTGTAGTATATACATACTAGTTTTATCTCACCATGACTTTATAGGTTTAAAAAAAATGTGAGTTAGACAAAAGAAATATAGTCAACATGAGGTTTAATGAAAAAAATTTTTGCGTCAATTTTAAGGAAAGGTGGTATATTTGCTGCTGTATTTTTAGCTGAAATGTTGCGAAGTATGTTGTCCTAGAAAAACTCATACTTAAAATCCACATTTTTGCTTAGGTTGGGAATGATAAGTAATGTCCAAATTTCTTTTGTACTTTTAGCAACCTGGAAGCTTTTCTAGCTGGCCTGGTAGTTTCCTCATGGATGACAGCATGTCTAATACTCTCAATAGCCTCGAGGAGCACGCTAGTGAGTTTTACAGCATGGATGAAAATCAGACTGTGTCTGCTCAGCAGAACTCACCTACAAAGTTCCTGGCCGTGGAGGCAAATGCTGTGCTGTCCTCTCTACAGACGATCCCAGAATTTGCAGAAACTCTTGAACTTATTGAATCTGTAAGTTTGAAATTGTGAAATTATCAAAAAGCTCAATTTTAGTATGTGGTTTCATATTCAGAAACAGTTTAATGGACACTCAGCAGTTTTATGTTGCACATTACCTTGTATGTCATGGTTAATTTTGTTCTGATATTTTGCAGTGGTTTTTGGCAAAAAATACATGTATTTATTTATTATACAAGTTGTATATTAAAAATAGTTGGAAAGTAGAGAAAATTAAAGAAGAAAATGAAAATCCTCCATAAATCTAGAGTTAATAATTTGAGATATTTCCTTTCAGGCTCTGTTCTATACATATAAAACATATGCATATATTTTTAAACTCAGATGTACAGTAATGCTTGTGCATTTTTTTCCCCACATTATACCATGATCATGTCCCTGTTCTCTTGTTTTTAAACTTGAATATAAATGGTTTGATGGTATTCTATCATATGAATGTAGCAAATTTTATTTACCCAACGTACTATTATTATTGGACATTTATCTGATATTGTTTTTTCAGTATTACAACTTAAAGAATATGTGTAAAGCTTTGTGCAAAATCATGATTATGTCCTCAGGTTAAATTGAATTTTTGAATCACAGTGTGTGACCTCTTTGAAGATACTCCTTGTGTTTGTGTGTATGTCAGTTGCTTAGTCGTGTCTGACTCTGTGCGACCCCGTGGACTGTAGCCCACCAGGCTTCTCTGTCCATGGGATTCTCCAGGCAAGAAGACTGGAATGGGTTGCCATTTCCTTCTCCAGGATATCTTCCCGACCCAGGGATCTAACCCAGGTCTCCTGCATTTCAGGCAAATTCTTTACCATCTGAGCCACCAGGGAAGCCATACATGTTACCAAATGATTATGTAGATGTAGAATAAAGTTTTCTGATAGAATAGAATGTGAAATTTTATGACAGGCTATACTGTTTTATGAAAATAATGTGATTTATTCCTTTCATTTGAAGTACTTTGGTAATAAGCTTCAGCTACTGAATTAGATGAAGTGTTATTTTGAAATGTTTCAAATTGGAGTTGTAGTAAAACCATAATCTGTTCCTCTCAGATAGTCTTGCTTAAAAAAAAAAAGAGGAACCAAGGAAAGCCTATTTCTCTGGATAAAAATTGGTAGTTAATTAACTCTGGAAATCATCATCCTATGTTCAAGACTAGATGTAACTGGGTTATAATATTAATAACTTTAGTTAAGAACTTAATCTGTTGCAGGATCCTGTAGCATGGAGTGATGTTACTAGCTTCGATCTTTCTGATGCCGCTGCTTCACCTGTCAAGTCCACCCCAGTTAAACTAATGCGAATTCAGCACAACGAAGGAGCCATGGAATGTCAGTTTAATGTCAGCCTTGTACTCGAAGGGAAAAAAAACGGTTGTAACGGGGCAGACGGCGAGGCTGTTCCTTTAACCTCCCCAAGTGTGGCTAAGTTTAGCACTCCACCAACCATCCTCAGAAAGAAGAGAAGAATGCGAGTGGGCCAGTCCCCAGGCAGCGAGCTTGGCGATGGCTCATTCAACGATGGTGGTAACACAGCACTAAAACACACACCGGTGAAAACACTACCATTCTCTCCTTCACAGGTAGTCGTGTTGTTTTTGTTCATGTTTCCAACTGTTGGTTAGCTTGATTGAATTAGATCTTGGATATCCATACTAGCAGTTCATTGCTTTAGTAACACATAAAAATGTACACTGTAGTCAGATGTGTATAGGAGAGTGCTGAGCTGGGATAAATCAGAAAAATATCCCGGGAAGTGAAATAGTTGCATTTTATCTTACAGTGTTTAGAGCTGAAAGGGATGTCTTAGATACGTAGTTCCACGTGTTTGTAGAACTCATCAGGAAATAGGCCCAGAAAGGGAAAATGCCTTGCCCACAGTTATGTAATGGCAGAACTGAGACAGAGAGCCAGTTTCCTGACTGACTATTCAAGAGGTACCAGGTATATATTCCTAGACAACTGCTTCTTACAAGAATTTCATGTGTAAGGTCATCTAGGGATGTCAGGAATTACCTGCTTTCTCCTGTAGTTATATCTTTGGGTAGCAGATACTTATATCGGGGCAAACTATTTGTTTGATTTTATAATACTGTCTATCTTAATGAACACCATATTCCAGGCTGTGTGCTAAATGCTTTTCTTATAGTATCTTAGTTAATGCTCTTGCAAAAAACCTCTGGAGGCAGTTAGAATGAAATTCAGAAGTTAAGCAATTTGTCCAAGATCAGTAAGAAAGAGATGAAGCTGGTATTTGCTTAAAGTGTATTGACAGAGGTGAAAAAGTTTTATGGAAGAAGAAGGAAGTTTAATGGCCAAGTAAACTTGGAGGCTGTTGGGATATTATTGGAGGTATATTTTGATGCTGGGAAGATGAATATCTGGCAGTAACTACACAGCCACTGTTTTCTCTGAAAATTTACCCCTCCCGCCCAGTGCACCCTCAGGAGTTAGAAGGTGTCCTGAGGAAAGTGACCCTGGGTTGAGCACACTAGCAGTTTTCTGTTTTTGGAGTTGTGCATACCTGCAGTTTTTGTTGAGTAAATTCTAAGATGGAAAATGGCTGAGAAGCTGAGGCATGATTATAAAGACCGTATGCTGTGCTCTGGTGTGCTAAGTTGTTTCAGTTGTGTCTGACTCTGTGCCCCGTGGACTGTAGTACGCCAAGCTCCTCTGTCCACGGGATTCTCCAGGCAAGAATACTGGAGTGGGTTGCCATTTCCTCCTCCACGGGATCTTCCTGACTCAGGGATTGAACCTGCATCTTCTGCATGCCCTGCATTGGCAGGCGGGTTCTTTACGACTAGAGTCACCGGGGAAGCCTATAAAGAACGTATATTCCATAGCAAAGAGCTTGGATTTTATCCTGTGACTTGCAGGCATCAGAAATGATAGAGCTAGAACTCATTCCAGTTATAAGTAGCCTTAAAGCAGTTTCTACTTTTCTTATCATTGCTTCTAGTCTGTTGGCTACAAAAATAAATTAGTATTTCACAATTGTATGTAAGTTAAAATCCAGTGTGTAAATTGTGTCATTTGGAAAATGGACTCTATGATACCAGTTTTGGCTGCTCAAAGGTTCTGAACTTGGGTTCTAAATAGGCACATTTGCCAGACAGCTGTATTTCTTATTAGTTAAACTTATTCTGGGGCTTCCCTGGTAGCTCAGCTGGTAAAGAGTCTTCCTGCAGTGCAGGAGATCAGGAGTCCAATTCCTGGGTCGGGAAGATCCTCTGGAGAAGGGATAAGCTACCCACTCCAGTATTCTTGGGCTTTTCCGGTGGCTCAGACAGTAAAGCATCTGCTTGCTCATCTGCCCGGGGAGACCTGGGTTTGATCCCTGAGTTGGGAAGATCCCTTGGAGGAGGGCATGGCAACCCACCCCAGTATTCTTACCTGGAGAATCCCCATGGACAGAGGAGCCTGGCAGGCTACATTCCATAGGGTCACAAAGAGTCAGACACAACTGAGCGACTAAGCACAGCACAGCACAAACTTACTCTGAATTCTATATGTTCTTATAGAAAGGAGAATTTAAGATCATTTATTAATGAAATCATAAAACTTTTTTCAGTTATACCATTGTACAAAGCTTACCTTTATCAAAGCAGTTATTTATGGCTTCTATAGATTCTCATTTGATAAGATATACTGTTTGAAAATTTTTTATTGTGTTTTGTTACTTTTGGATTTTTGTTAAATGGCTATTTCTGGAATACCTGTTAGGTGTTAAACACTGTTCTAAGAGCTGGGGAGGCAGCAATGAACAAAACAAAATTTCCTGCCCTCGAGCTTTATTTTTATAGAGTGGAATGTAAATGTATTATTATTGGTATCTTCTCCTAAAAGGAATGGAGAAATAACTTGAAAACTTAATCAGTTTGATATTTGTGTAGGATTTTGACATTTTAGAAATTGTCTCTACACTCTCTTTTTTAGTTTTTCAACACATGTCCTGGAAATGAACAAATTAATATAGAAAATCCTTCATTCACATCAACCCCTATTTGTGGGCAGAAGGTTCTCATTACAACTCCTCTTCATAAGGAAACAACCCCCAAAGATCAAAAGGAAAATGTAGGGTAAGTAGATACTAAATAATTATGTTAAAGAAAATGAGAAGCAGTTTCAAAAGTAGATTAACTTTTTGTCCATTTATATGTATATCATAATCCTTTTCATATGAGATTTAGAATTTTAAAAAATCATAACCTTGAATTTTATCCCTACGAGACTAGAAATCAGCTAAAGGTAGTATAGAAGTTTGATCTTAAGCAAATAGCATTTTTAGTACTTATTTCTACATTAATCTTTTTTCTGTTTTAAGATGATTGGAGTAAGAATAGGCAGGCATATTTTAAAAGTCTTGGAATGTTTAAAGCATGTATATATACAAGAAAAATTCAGTGTGTGCTTTTATGATGGTTTTGTCTTCCTTAACTTACATGAAATCAAATTTTGACTGTAATACAAATATCTGAATGATTGGACAGGTTTAGAACACCTACTATTAGAAGATCTATATTGGGTACCACACCAAGGACTCCTACTCCTTTTAAGAATGCGCTTGCTGCTCAGGAGAAGAAATACGGGCCTCTTAAAATTGTGGTATGTATACTCCTTTTATTTTTAAAAATGTTCCTAATTTTAATAAGACACAAATTTTGATTTTTTTAGCCTTGATTTTTAACATTTAAAAAAGATGTTCAATGAACTGGATTAAAAAGACTTAACCTCCTATAAATTTGAATTTGTGTTAATCTTTTTCCTTGTAAATAAACCCTTGCTTGGCTTGTTTTGAATTCACACTTATCTTTATGTCATCCAGAGAAAGCAAATCAAGTGTCAGTAGAACTCATTTCTTAATACTAAGACCTACCTTTTAGTAGTTTCAGTAGCAGTTACCTACAGTATAATAAAATAATTTTAATATTTTGATATACATAAGCACTGGAAAAGGAAATGGCAACCTACACCAGTATTCTTGCTTGGGAAATCCCATGGACAGAGGAGCCTGGTGGGCTACAGTCCACGGGGTCTCGAGGGGTCAGACACAGCTTAACGATGTAAACAACAACAAAATTACATAAGCACATTCCTAGTAATATTTATGAAACTGATCACGATACCTCTTTAAGGCTCAGTTTCCTCTTCTATTCAGTAGGTATTACAAATATCACCCCAGCAGGTAATTTATGAAGGTAGATAATAGAAATAAAGAGGCTGCTACTAAGATTCAAGTAGTATGTGCTGAGTTGTTGCTATTATTATTATTTTAATAATGATGGGTAGCAGTAGTAGTATGTGAATGGAGGTGGGAAGTGTTATCTGTGCTTTCATATATATGTGTTGTCAATGCTGAAGCACCTTAGGTGAGCCATGAGCATTCTGATTCTAGGCAGATATAGATTTCTGACAAATTAGGCACATTAGAAATAAAATATGATTTTTAAAGTGGTCATTTCTAGGGTACTTTAGTTATGTAAATCAGTTAATAAATTCTGGTTTACTTGATCTAATCAGTTTTCTATGAAAAAGCATGTATTGTATTCAAATGTTCTAGTCTTTTCCTTATTTTGAATATTGTTTTAGAGGGTACATAGTAGGATTGATCAAGTCTTTTTGCCACTTAGCTCCATACACTGCTATAAGAAAAAAAAAGTTTAGTGTTCTTTAAACTTCTTAGTTTTTATGCATATACATACTAATAATGGGATCACATTATGTACTTTTTGGTAACCTTTTTAAATTTAATAAATTGCATCATTTAAAGATATTACCTTGCATTTATCTCATAACTTTTAATGTTTTTGTACTGTTCCATTGTATGGACTCACCTAGTTGATATAACTAGTTTGTTTCAGCATTTTGTTACTCATTTTTTTAAAAAAATCATTAATTCGACAAATACTGAGTGCCTCATGGGTGCCAGGTGCTGGGCTAGTTTTTTGGGGATGTACCATTAAACATGTCAGGTGTGGTTCCTGCCTTTATAAGGGTGTGTGGCCTAATTGAGAATTCTAAAAATAAGCAATAATTTGAAAACATTTGAAAAATTCTAGCAGTTCCTCAGGGTCATTTCGCCAACATATATTTTGAATAAAAATTGTTATTTTAATAATACTGCACAAGAAATTAGGTTTCAGGTATCTAAAGTCCCTATCAGTTTGTTCATGTTTGGGAAGAATTTATCCATTGCCAAAATAGGTCATTTTCATAAAAAATTTAAGATAAAAGGAAAGTATGGATTTTGTAAGTAAAGTTTCTAAAATATCTGCAGGCTTATTTGCAGCAAGCTGACTTTTCATTCCTCCAGTTGTTTACTGAGCACCTGCTGTGTGCTAACCACTCAGCTTTCTTATGTATCTTCCTGTGGATCAAATGTATTTCTTAGACTTTGGCTTTCTAGGACAATTGTATTCTTTTTTCTCTTTGACTGAAGTATAGTCGATTTACAATGTCAAGTTAGTTTCTGATGTACAGCAAAGTGATTCAGTTACATATATATACATTCTTTTTCATATTCTTTTCCATTATGGTTTATTACAGGATATTGAATAATATTATAATTCCATATGCTATACCTTGTTTTTTATCCTTTCTATATATAATAGTTCGCATCTGCTAACCCCAGATTCCCAGTCTTTCCATCTCCAACCCCTCTTCCTCCATGGCAACCACAAGTCTTATCTTTGTCTGTGAGTCTGTTTCTAATTCATACATAAGTTCATTTGTGTCATTTTAGATTCCATATGTAAGTGATATCATATGGTATTTTCCTTTCTCTGTCTGACTTAGTAATCTCTTAAGTCCATCAGTGTTCCTGTATACAATGTTGTTTTCTTTCTTTTTTAATGGCTGAGTAGTATTCCATTATAATATATACACACCACATCTTAGGGCACTTGCATTCTTATAGGCGAAAGAACAGATTCCAGATTCCTTTTTAAGAACACATAACCTGTGTTCTTTGTGAAACATAATCCTTAAAACGAGAGCTCTTAGAGCAACACACAGAAATACTCACATAATTCTTGCATGTCTTGGGCTATAGATGAGAACACTTGAAACATTCTGTTTCCTTTTTAAAGTTTTTGTAAGTACTGTGAAATCTCGTTTATGTATGGATGCTATTCTCCCTAACTTTGTTGACTGGGAACGTAAGCTGCTGGTCATTACATGCTGCCAGTTTGTTCTTTGATTTAGTGGAGCTTTGATTACTTTTTTTTTTAAACAGGTCTTGGTTATGGTAGATCTTAAGACCTATGGTAGGTCTCAATATAATTTACATTTTTTTCTGAGTTATATAGTGTGCTTAGTTATTTGAGGGTTTCCCTGGTGGCTCAGATGGTAAAGAATCTGCCTGCAATGCCAGAGACCTGGGTTTGATCCCTGGGTTTGGAACATCCCCTGAGAAGGGAACAGCTCCCCACTCCAGTATTCTTGCCTGGAGAACTCTATGGACTGTATAGTCTGAGGCCATGGGGTCTCAGAGAGTTGGACACGACTGAGTGACTTTCTGTAGTTATTTGATAGAAAGATAAATAAATAATATTTTGAGATTATTTCATCATTCAGCCCACATTCAAGTTTTTTTTTGTATTCTCCCTTCCCACACTCCAGTACACGTATAGACAGTCACAGACACACATGCACACACACATGCTTCCTGAACACTGACTCAGCTCTAAGCTTAAGGCTAGGTGTGGAGAGATGGATACAGAAGAAAAAGCTCTTAAACAGCTCACACATGTAGTGGTAAGACAAACATGCAAACTAGTAATTACACACTGATAGTAACTACAATAAAAATAGGATAAGGAGAGCTACTGTTGTCTAAACTTATTATGTGTTTCCTATTTTTATGTAAAAATAGGGAAGTAATCTCTTTTTAATTCTGAAGCTCCTGATTGAAGCAGAAGCTATAATGGGTTCCCCCAAAGGAAGACTTTTATTTAGTGCCTTGCCATGAAGGAAGTGGCACACTTCATTCAGTGCATGCAATGTGCAATATTTTTGCCATTCAATGGATTAGTTAATTTATTCAACTTATATATCTATAGGGGTTGGAAGAAAATTATGCCAATAATGAAAACGTATAAAAGTTGGGTTTCTATATATGGGGAGAAAAAAGGAAGTGCTATAAAAGGCTTTTTAAAACCCCTTTTAAAAATAATTTAAGTCACAGCCACTTGCCTTCTTGGAAGAAGATATTCGGGAAGTTTTAAAGGAAGAAACTGGAACAGACATATTCCTCAAAGAGGAAGATGAACCTGCTTACAAAAGCTGCAAGCAAGAGGTGATCTTTTAGTATTATTGTTGATAAAAGTCTTTATCATGTTCCGGTGACTTGGCCATAATGTCCCTATTGTAAATTATTCATTCTAGCATACTGCTTCTGTCAAGAAGGTCAGAAAATCACTAATCTTAGATAATTGGGAAAAAGAAGAACCAGGTACTCAACTGTTAAATGAAGACCTTTCAGACTTGCAGGTTTGTAAAGGATTTTCTTTATATTAAGATGGTTGCTTTAAGCTCTAGTGGTTCTTGTGTTTTACTCATTGTGTGGTTAATTCATTAGAGATTATAGAGGGTTTCCATTGGTGGTGTTCAGTCTAATTCAGAGAGAAACAGTTAACTGTAGAGAATATTTCATTCACATCCTTGCTTTCTATATTTGTTTTGTTTTGAGAGAAGTTAGCTCTCTTACGTACGATGTCAAAGAGTGGTAGTCCTCAAAGCTTGAAATTTCAGTATTTATCTTTGGTTCACCTCTTAAATATTTAATTTTGCTACATTGCTAGAAATTTCTCGGAGCGAAAGCTTTCTTGGAGGGACATGCACAGGACTTCCACTACCACTTCCTCCATAGTCCTTCTGTTCGTCTCCATTTTTGAATTAGTTATTTTCTTTTCCTCTTTCTTTTTTCTCTTAGTCAGAAAATATATTTACTACATCTTTATTAATGATACCATTATTGGAAATACATGACAATAGGTGCAACTTGACTCCTGAAAAACAAGATATAAATTCAACCAACAAAACATATACACTTAATAAAAAGAAACCAAACCCTAACACTTCCAAAGTTGTCACATTGGAAAAGAATCTTCAGGTATGAATTTATAAATTTCTTTCAGTGACTTTTGTTGTTGTGTATTCAGTTATCACTTTGGACCTACTGATCACAAATCATACTTTTTCTTTTAAATTCAAAATTGACTATAGCAGTAACTAGACATTCACCATTGTTTTGTCACTCAAACAATGATTTGGGTTTCTGAGAGACTCACTCATGAGGGCACATATAAAGTAAACACCTGGAATTATAGCTGGGGACTTTCCTGGTGATTTCTTAAGCATGATTTCATTCTTAAACGAAAAATACCTAAATCTACTTCTGGCACCTCTTCTGTAATAAATAATTGTAGCCCGAATTGCAACTTTTAAAGGGTAAGTGGTTGGAAGCAATTTCAACTTGATTTTGTTGGTATAATGGTTTCCAGTGAACTTTCTGGCTCTTAGTTGTAAAACAAAATGGTTTTTTTCAGATACTCTGCAGCCATTATGTCGCTGCAAATGAAAGCTGGAAAATTTTTTACTATATCTTAAGAATTCAACCTAGAGAATTTGAGAGGTCACTGAAGAAAAAGTTCTCTTCTTTACGCCACAATGACTGCAGAACTCGCATTCCTGACATTCAAGCATTCCTTGAAAACATCTTTGGCAGTCAGATGTGTGGGACCTCCTGTCTTTACTGAGCTGCTGCTCTTCACAGAGCCGTGTGGCACATTCTCTGAATCCATTTAAAGTGATCTGATTTACCAGTGTTTAACACAGAACTTTTCAGGAAAATTTATTACATAGGAGGTCATACCTATACAGTAGTAACCTTGATAATAGAGGAAAACAAATGAAACAAATCTAAACTTGACTTTGTGTTTTTTTTCCTAATTTGCAAGACATAAAGCATTCTAGGTTTATTTTTTGACATTGTATCCTCTTTAAATCTTTTGCAAAACTTTGAAGCAGTAAAGACTGATATTTCTGTGCTCAGACTGATTGTGTAAAGCAACTATATACTCTAATTTAAAAATAAACCGGAGTTGATTTGAGGGGCAGTTGTGGAAATAGAACTTTTAAACTGCCTTCACAGGCCTACATATGGCTAAAACGTTGACTTAACAATTGATCATAAACATTTTAGTATATGATTTTGAAGCATCGTTATTTAAAAAGAATCACAATGCCATTGCCAAAAACATTTTATGGTAATTACTTATCAAATATCCAAGCAATTAATTGATTTTTAAGCGTTTTAATTGTGAAGTAGAATGGATAGTTTTCTTAACAGTTTTCACATCACTGTTAATATTTCCTTCCTAGTCAACTTGTGAATGGGAAACAGTGGTTTATGGGAAGACCGAAGACCAACTTATCATGACTGAACAAGCAAGAAGATATTTGAGTACTTACACAACTACAGGCAGCACTTCAAGAGCTCTCATACTGTGATTGTTACTAAGACTGATGAAATGCCCCCACTCCCTTACTAGATTGTATACTAAGTTAGGCTGCAATGAAATACATTTTTTTGTTGATTGTTTTTAAAGTTTTAAAACAGCCCTAAAACGGTTTGCATCCTTTTTCATTTTGGGCAAGCAGAAAGCTAGGCACTTATGTAAGGGGTAGGCAATTTCATAGTTTATTTTTTTAAGACATGAGATTTTTAAAAATTGTTTTTAAAGAACAAGGTTGGGAAATCATATTAGGATGTTCAAGGATATTCTGAAAGTAAATTCTCACATCTTTTCTTCAGAAGATATGTGTTGCTACTCTCCTGATGCTGGAGTTTTGTTAAAGATAGGTCTTATGAGTATGTGTGATTTCTGAAATTAGTCTCTATACAGAAAGCACACATGGCCTTATGAAGTACTTTTGCCTATCTGCTGATTTACTTAGGCTACCATTTACAGAGAAACACAATGGGAAGGCATTTAAAAGAATGAAAGTTGCACTACTAATTTTTGGTATTTTTAAAAAAATAGTAAAATTAACTACAGTGTTAAATGTATTTATTTGAGCATAGTCCTCAAAACAAAAGGCATTGCAAAAATGTTTTTTCCTTATTGGTAAAGAGTCAGTATTTTCTCCATAAATCTCAGAAGAGCTGAGAGTTTTGTTGAATGTATTGTACAGTATGTAGGAGCAGGAAAACTTTGTAAATTGGAAAGAAGTCTGTTTTTATAATTTATTTTCATTTTTAAAGCTTAAATGTAGATATTTATACCTATACAGGGTGTCTAGAAGCCAATGTTGTTTCCTGTTATTACAGATAACATAGTAAAGAACAATTTTGACTTTTAAGTATGAAACAGTAGTAAGTTATAGCTGCAAAGAATTCAGTATCTATACTGTATGTCACATCTACCTAAATATTGCACTATGTCCTTTAAATCATGTTGGTTATAAAGTAGTTCTAAAAATGTACTAAATAATAATTTAATATTTTTAAATTATATGGGAGGGTCATATAAATTAATCTGGTGATTTGTATATTTGTTTGAAATTTTTGCATTTTGTTTTAAAAAATAATATGGTACTTTGGTCCCTAAAAACAGTCTGCACTTAGAAGTTTGTTATATTTACTCAATGTTTAAGAAGTAGAGAACATTATCTTTTATTTATAAAAATATTTGTCCTTTTATAAATGTTTTGTGTTTCTCTACAGGTTACAACAGTTGCTTCAGTTGCCTGTTTTAGGTGTTTGCACTTATTTTATTTCTTCTTGAAAGAATGTCTTTATTTGCTTTTGTGTAGAGATTTTATGTAATTTTTTGAAACATATAATGGTATGCTGTCAACTTAAACACTGACAGGTAAATAGAATTGTACACTGTAGTTGTAATTATTTGTAATTGACACACTCTCTCCCTCTCCACTCCTGAAGTATGCTGCTATAGAAAATAGCAGAATCGGCTTGCTGCTATGAGAGAAGGAAAGAGCGACCACCACTTGCACTGTGTGAAAACATAAAAAGTATGATGATGGCAAGTTCTCAAGTTAACTTCATGGAATCAACCATTACCAGGCAAATTCTTGCAAATACCAAAATGCTCTGCCTTTAAACAAAAACAGCTTAAGATTCTCTGTTGATGGAAATGGGTATACGAAGTATTTTAATGCCTAGCTTTTGAACAGTAGACCTAAAAGGATTTTAAGCTATTTAAATCTACTTGCTCATTTTTGCATATTATATGTAGTGAGAAGTGAAGGAAATGTGTGGTACTAAGATTATGCCTTGTTGATAACAAATAGATGAACCAATTTGAATCTTCCTAGCATGTTTGTTAAGTATGTTGATTGCTTCCTAATTAGTGAACTTCTCACAGAAATTTCACTTTGTAAAACCAATGATTGTAGCAAAATCATACTGGATCATTTCAATTTCAGTTACCTTGAACTAATAGCACATAATGGTTCCCTTTTATCTTTTCTTTTTTTTAATGTAGCCCTTGGCTGGTTTGGATGTACATAGTCTCCAATTACCAAAGTATAATATCTTGGAAGAGCTATATTTTTTTAAAGCATAGTTTTTCTTCAGCATTAAATTATCCCACATGTAATATATTGCAGATAAGCTTGGGATTTTGGACATGGTACATATTTCGGTTGGTATTGGTTGAATCCTCCAGTTAACTGGTTTGTTGCTTTTTGCAAGAAGATTTTTTAATCTTAAACATGTCAGGCATCTTAAATAACCTTTTATACTGTTGTGTTCAATTTGAATTTCTTTCAGTATGTTAAAAATGCCAGACATAACATGTAGCAGCCATACTTGCATGGAAACTGACTACACATATAATACTGCATTTTGTTGTAAGGTTTTCGCATTAATACAGCCATTACCCTGACTAAATTGAGTTTTTTGATGTATGGGAAAAAACTTTCCATTGTAAGAGAATCTTGCATACAATGTTGACTGTTAACATCCAAAATAAAGCATCTGTGTACAAGCTGACATGGCATTACTTGTTTGACTCAGGTTTTGTATTTTGTGTTGACTGACCCTTGAAGGACTTAACCAAGTATTCGGTTCTTAGACCATTTTTCTCCTTTGGAACTCTCCTTTGAGGTGATTTCATCCTTTAACACAACTTGACCTCTTTATTCAAGAAATGAAAATACATTTCCATTTCTTGAGCCTCATTTAGAGCCATATTTTCAACTGCCTTTAGAGATTTCCATATGACTTTTCTGTCAACACCTTAGATATAGGATGTTCTCTTGAACATCCAGCTTGAACCTGCCCCTCCTTTATTCTCTTAGTGGTGTGACTTTCCTTTTGATCACTCACTGAGAAACCTCCTGCCTCTCCCTAACCTTCCACGTTGAAATCTGTTTTAAAATCTTAGCCCACCAAAAGGCTCAGCTCTAATTCCATTCCTTCATCTCTGACTTAGATTATTGCACTTATCGCCCTGCCCTCCATTCTCCAGAAGTATCAAGAAATTTTTCTGTGACATCAGGGTGTCACCTAGGCATGGCCAACCGGTCACCCAGACAGGTTTGTGCAGTATTATATCGCCTTGGTCAATGTCACCATCCAGATGTTACCGTTAGCCTTCTAGGCTTAGAAATCTGATGGATTAACCCATCAGATTAAGAGACTAAAATGAGTTTACCCCTCACTAGAATGTCTGTATCGAGTGGGTGAGACTGTCACATGAACTCAGAACACTTAATTTACAGTGTGAAATGTAAGTCCTGAGAGGAAAGACAACTGCTTACATGTGAGCATAAGGCTGCTGCTGCTGCTAAGTCGCTTCAGTCGTGTCCGACTCTGTGCCACCCTATGGACAGCAGTCCACCGGGCTCCTCTGTCCACGGGATTCTCTAGGCAAGAGTACTGGAGTGGGTTGCCATTTCCTTCTCCGGTGAGGGTAAAGAAACATGAAAACACACAGATTTGATCACTTCTCCTGTTCACAGACCTTCCACAGTTGTCTGTTACCTAAATAACAAGAATTCTCCACTTCCTAGTCTGGACCCGGTGACCTGGATCTTTCAGGAACAACGAATGCATGCTTCTGCCTTCGTGCCTCCCCTCATTGCTGCTTCTCTTTGTCTCCCTACCTGTTAGAATCCTACGCAGCCTTCAGGGCACAGGTATGTGTCATTTCCTGATTATCCTGGTGCCTCCATAAAACTTTCCCACTAGACTTTATGTTTTGAAGAGTAGGAATTGCTCTTTATAACTCCTGCATTTAGTGTGGTGCTTAGAAAGTCTCAGGAAGTGTTAAATTGAAAGAATGTTAAAAAATAGTCATGACTCTTAGGAAATATTAACCGAGTTTGTTTTACACAATGGGTTGTGAATAGCTTGGGGTTTCTTAGTTTTGCTTTATAGTCAGCTATTATTTTGTTAAAAATCTTTTGAGCTCCATGTGATTTCCTGCCTGAGTTATCTAGTTATAGAGCAGTAGGCTTGCCAGCCAATCAGACTTATAATTGTAATCTAAAACAGATGGAAGGTTTTGAAGAGGTACTTCCCACTCTGTGACTCTGTGAGAAGTGAAAAGTTATTTTTAATTAAGTAGTGGAGGATAAAACAGACCAAGTGCAGTTCCATAAGAGCATGGAAGGGGAGCATTACTTCCCCTTCCCTGGCTGTTTTTTATTTTAAACAAGGTCAAGAAGATGTTAAAAATATTGGTAGAAAACCAAGATAAAGTATAGCAGGAAAAAAAATTATTCATGGCTGACATGTTGGGAAGAGAGTGTTTTTGAAACTAATATCTTGGCATCAGTACATTGAGTTTGAGCAAACTCCATGTTAAAAGCAGTGTACTCTCCTGTCCTTAGTTTTGAAGGCCTCAGATCTGGTGTGGTTATTCAAGTTCCAAGTACAGAATGTGCTAACTTTGAGTAGATTTTTCTGGCCAGCACAGGGAAGGAAGGAGGGAGATTGACTACTCTGGTTTTACTACTGTAATTTTGCCAACCATAGCTCAAAAGTTTGGATAACATTCTGACATAATTTCCTAAGACTCAATACAGTTAGCACTTATTTGTTCAACTAGCAACCAGTACTTACCTGCTTTCTTACAGTACCTGGCAGTAGGTGAACTATGGTAAATAGGACATGACCCTTCCCTTGAGGAAGCTGATGTTTTAGAAGGGGAGATGAATAAGTATGTAACAGAAATGGCATCTCTACTCCCTTTGGTCAAAAGTGAGATGAATCAAGTAGCCAAGTTTCGTTTGAGAATAAGGGAATGGTGAGCCATTGCCCAGATAGTGTGGATTTCCCCTTTAAACCGTGGAGAATTGTGCCCAGGTGACTTCCACCCCAGGAAGTTCACAGGCTAAAAGTTTGAGTACAAATAACAGTTGCAACCATGTGCCAGTAACCTACATGACCTCATTTAATCCTACCAACAACTATTAGGTAAACATTTTATCATCCACTTCTGTGAATTGGAAGTAGGCTTGGATTAAGATTAAGTTTGTAC